GCCCGCCCCCAGCCCGTGAGTCAGCGCTGACTGCCTCTGTCCGCTTGGTGAGTCAGCACCAGGCCTGGCAGTGGGGAGGGGGACGGGCGGGGACCCTGCCCTCCACATCCTCTCCTGCCCTCTTCCCCAGCTGGCCCACTGTATCGGCGATCAGACTGCAGGAATAGGCTTCTCGTGCGGCTTAAAGAGAAACCCGACCCCTTCCTCTGCCCAGTCCTCCACCGGAATGGGCACTGCCGACGTCCGCGGCCTGGACACCGAGTCCCCGGTTCCCCTCTGACCCCTCAGCTCGGGACTCGCGGTGCCGGTCACTCCACTACCTCCCTTTGGTGCCACTTGCTTGGGTGGCCCAGTTACCCGGCTCTGGGTCCTTCTGCCCATATACACCCCAGCCTTTCTCGGGGAGAACCCTCACTCTTGCCCCAGCCCGCTTCTCCCCGGTCCCGCCCCCGTATTGCGAGCCCCACCTCCAGGCCTACGCCCCTTTCCTCCTAGACGTTCTCCCACCTCCAGAATCCACCACCCCGCCCCCCACTACCTTGCTACACTTGTATTCCATCCGAGCCCCCACCTTCGTGGTTCCTCCTTCCCTGTCCCACCCTGCGCTGGATCCCAGCTCCCCCTCCCTTTCCCTCCCCCAGGTTTTCTCCTGACCGTGGGCACTAATGGCGCTGCAGCCCCCCGGGCGGCTACTTAGCAGCAGGAGGCAGAGGAGCAGCCGGAGACCCCCGGCCTCCCCAGGTCCCCCGGGCCTCCACAGGCGCCGCATCCTTCCCGGCTCGGCGCGCTCCCTCCTCCAGCCGAGCCTCTGCTGCGCGGGCAGTAGCCGGCTGGAGGGACCTAGGCGGGGCCTGCCACTCCCCACCCACCCACAGGCGGAGCCCACACTCCCCTCCCAGGGCAACCCAGCCAATCACAGGCGGGCAGTGACGACCCTCTCATCCTCGGCTCTTACGCCTGTTTGCGTCATACGTGGCGTAAGAGCTCTGTGGTCGCGGGGTGCCTATCCAACACTTCCTCCTCTGCCCCACCACCCTGGATAGTAGGCACCTCGCTAGAATTCCCAGTTGGCTAACTCCTTTTGGACGTACGCGCGCGTGTTCATCTCCAGAGACTACCACTCTAATCCTCGTTCTTAGGGATGGTGAAATTAGGAAGAGTTGACCGGGGGCTGGATGGAGGGAGGGTCAGGAAAGTGAATAGAATACGCACCTCTCTCCATCAATGATACAGGCGTCATCCTTAAGAGGGGAGTGATCTGTATAAGCTTGGGCAAGTTGTTGACCCTCTCTGCGTCAGCTCTGGGAGTCTCTTTAGAATGCAGCTGGACTGACACCCACAAAACATTGCTCAGAGAGTACCATTGCTGTTAGTTTTCCCACGCTCTTTCTCCCACCACCATCAACAACCTTAGGGTTTCTGCCTGCAAGCTCTCTCTCCATGCTTGCTGCCAGAGTCCTGGGAAACCCTTCCATCAGAGCTCTTGTAGTAATTTCCTAAGGATCGTTTGCGCCCACTCTTGTCACCCTCCGAGCCAGGGGGTGAGCTTTGTAAAGCTCAGACCTGAGCACCGCCCTTGGACTTAAGTGGTTTCCCATTCAAACTCTTTGTAAATTAATAAACATTTTCTAACACACAAGGACAGGGGAGAAGAACAGAGTGAATAATTCTACACCCATGGCCTCGGCTTAACAGTTACTGATATTTTGCTTTTATTATTTAAAAGAAAATGACGGGCAGTATATTTCACTTACAAATCTTTCAATACGCATAGCCAAGGAAAAACGACGTTCCCACATCATCAGAATATCATGACAAAACTTACACTTCCTTAATATCATGTAGTGCTCAGTGTCTGTCTATCCAACTTTCTCAAATGACTCCAGAAATGGTTTTATTCAAAGCAGGAGTCAAGTAAGAACTACCACCACATGGGGTCCTGTTTCATAATGTCCTTTTAAATTAGTATAGACCCCCGCTGTCCACTTTTCACCCATTTGGGACCTGGTCTTGTTGAAGAGTCCAGGTCAGCTTTTCTGCATAATTCCCCACCTTCTGGGTTTGTCTTAGGGTTTCCTAGTGATACGTTTTCCCTGTATAGATTCTGATTTCTAAGTGGAAAATTCAATCTAGTGTCTTGATTAGATCCGCTGTACAACTTTTTAAGGAACATACTTTATATGTGATGCTTATGCCTTCAATGTTATCACTTCAGGAGGGCACAGAATGGCTGGCTACCCCCCTATCGGTGATGCTGATTGAAGGTAGAGGCAGCGTTTGTGTTCCTCCTCTGGCCAGTAGGTCACGTGGGGCACGGTGCTTTGCCATAGTGAGGATAACTGTCTAATGGTTTTGCCACTCCTTGATGAGGCTTGACTACATGACTTATTTCTTGAGAGGTTGCATAATTATTTTCCATTCTATCATGCTTTATGAGCTGTTATTTTGGAGAAAGGGGGGCATTCAAACTGAAAGACAAGTGGTGGAGATTGGGTTTAGTTGTCCTGAAATGTGGTTCCAACCGCTTAGCTAGTATACACAAACTACCAATTTTTAGTGTCTACTTAGTTTTAAATCCCACCCCTCGGTTTTTTCTATGTTGAATATTAGTATGTTTTTTAAACAGCTTTTTATGGTGAATTGGGTGAAGGTTTACAGGGCAGATCGTAGTTGTACATTCAAGAGTTTATATAGTTTTGTTTCACCTCATCCATTGTAATCCCTTTAATGCACCATCACGTCCTCCACCCCCTCCCTGTGTTTCCAGTTTCCACTCCTCCTCCTCTCCTAACTATGAGTCTTGTCGTTAGGTAAACGCTACCCTTTCGATCTTAATTGGTTGATTGTTGTAACATGGGAGTGAGTTCAGTTTCCACCCTGAAGGGTAACTAAAGGTCATAGTCTTGGGAGTTCTATGAATCTCTCTATCTGACCCGTAAGCCAAGTCTCTGTGATGTTGAGTTCTAGTCCACGTTCTTCCTCTCAGACGATCCAGGACCTTCTAATATGGTCCTCTTCAGAGCATATTACCATGTGGTAGCTGGGCACCATCTACTTCTTTTGGTCTCAGGAAAATAGGGATTAATGCTTGTATGGACCATTAGTCCGTTGGACTAATTGTTCTACCTGTCTTGGCTTTCATCACTCTAGAAGTATGATTTATAGATGCATAGTCTTATATACAACATACATAATGTGCATCAGTCCATTTTAGCAATTATTCTTTTTGAAATTAAAATTATTCCAAATTAAGCAAACAAGAGGTCCTTCTGGCACATCACATTAATTTTTGGAAGCTCCCCTGATTGATGCCACTCCACGGTGTTCCGGCTTCATTTTGTTCATTCCCTGCTTCAGACACAGAAGCCATCATTCCTCCAAAGAGACTTGGCAGCTTTGAGAAACGCCAGTTCTGGAGCTTTGTGGATGCTGATGGTCCGGTTAGGTGCTCAGCTACAAGCCAAAGAGTTGATGGTTTGAACCCACCCAGCGGCACCTAAGAAGACAGCCCTGGCAGCCATCTGCTTCTGAAAGACCACAGCTATGAAAACCCAATGGAATGCAGTTCTGCTTGCAACACATGGGGTCACCATGAGTTAAACATTGACTCCACAGCTATTGATCAGTGGCTACGATCGGATGTTACCTGACCTTTCAGTGCACAGAGCTAGACTATAAGGCCACACACACACGATGATATTTCCAATTAAAACTTAACTGCGATTTTTACGGAATTCTCGGTTTTATACTTTCATCTATTTATTCTTCTCCTGAAAAACGTAGTTCCTAATGACTTCACGTATTACTCTTATAGTTAATCCTATAATATGCATACAATAAATTTAAAGGAATCATTAAAACTATTTCTCTACTAATGAAACAACGAATAAAGCTTATGGGGTTTAACAGTGTATCTTGTCCTTAGAATAAAATCCCTAAGGCTGTACCATAAAAATGGGTCAAACTATCTTGCGGGTGGTCTTCCTCCATTTTTGCTGACCCTCTCCTAAGCATGATTTCCTTTTCCAGGGACTAGTCCCTTCTGATAACATGTCAAAAATATTTGAGACTAAGAATTTACCATCCATACTTCTAAGGAAGTAACCGTTTGGCTATCCTTCAAAGACAGATCTGTGGATTCTTCAATATTCTTCCTGTGATAATTTCAAATTCTTCCCCAGCACCCCACGATTCAAAGGCATCAATTCCGCTCTGATCTTGTTCGTTGTCCAGCTTTTGCCTCATGCGATGCACTTGAATACACTGTGACGTGGGTCAGACACACCTTAGTCTCCCAAATGACACCTTCATCCCCCAACACTTCAAAGAGGCCTTTGGCCCAGTGCAATATTCCTTTTGATTTCTTGACTGTTGCTCCCATGGGCATTGCTTATGGATCCCAGTAAAATGAAATCCTTGACCACTTCGATCTTTTCTGTATTTAATATGTTTACCGATCCCATTGTGAGGACTTTTGGCTTATTTACATTGAATTGTTATTCATACTGAAAACTGTTTTTCTTTAAATCTTCAACAAGGCCTCCAGGGTTCTTCTCTTCCATAAAGCAAGGTTGTGTCGCCTGCACATCTCCTGTTGTTAATGAGCCTACCTCCTACCCTGAGGTCACATTTTTCATGGAATCCAGCTCTTGAATTATTTACTTAGGACACACCCTTAACACAGATGCTCCTGATTTTAAGTGACGTAGTATCCCTTTGTTCTTTTCAAATGACTGCCTCTTGATCTAATGTACAGGTTCCTCATGAACACAATTGTTCTGAAATTCCCATTCGCTGACGTACGAGCCACAGTTTGTTATGATCCACGTAGTCCAAGGCCTTTCCAGGGTCATTAGTGTACAAGTAAACATCTTTCTGGCACTCTCTGCTTTCAGCCAAGATTCACCGGACATCAACAATGATATTTCTCATCCCATGTCCTCCTCTTATTTTGGCTTGAATTCCTGGCAACTCCTTGTCAACCTCATGGCTAGTATCGTGACCACCCCCATATCTGTCTATTGGTTCAGAGGCATATGGAACTCAAAGGGCGGTCACAGCTCCTAATAAGAGAACTCCGAGTCCTTGGGGAGAGCACTTCACCTCTGGTCGCTGGGATTTGCAAACCCATCAGAGAGGACATGGGATGCCAACATTCCTTCAGAGATGTTTCTAGTCACTCATCATAGTGAGAGGGGCCCCTCTGACCGTTACTCCTTGGTTCCAGAACTCTCGAGATGTATAAAGCACACTGTGTATTACTATTAAAAATGGTGTGTAAGGCTCTGAGGGAGCATCTGATCTCCTTTCACTTCACAAGAGGGAGAGGAAAATCCCCATCATCAGCATCAGCTGCTGAAGCGAGTCCCATGAGGCAGGTTTCAGACATACCTCTACCTCTCTCTTCAGTCCTTCTGACACCAACCATCCATCCATCCCACCACACTCTCAGCTTCTCTGCTGGGCTTGATAATTCACTGCAGTGGCCACACAGAACTCAGACAATACGTAGATTTATAGAGTTTATTGGGAAGTTAATGGGTTGCAACCCAGGATAAAAAATGTTTAGGTACCTTGATCAGGGAGCCTCTTCTCAGCTGTGCCCACTGGCAGGCCTCTCTCTGGCCCTCAGCCTGGCCTTCACCTTGCTCAGGTAAGGTTACAAAGCTCTTTTAGTGCTGTCTATAAATGTCCCCAACCCCAAGCCCAACTCACTGCCATCGAGTCGATATTGACTCAAATAGTGACCACCTGTGGGTTTTCAAGACTGTAACTGTGTATGGGACC